TTAGTCATTATCCTTCGGCTGATCCCGCTGTAGGTTAGTTTAAGCTCCAAAAGATTCATTTTTATTATCTGAATAATTGTTATATTTTATTTATTTATCTTCAACTACGATTATTTATTAAAATAACTTGAAAGATGCTCACGTTGCCAAGAGTATAATTTACACTATTTTTCCATAGCTTGATAATTATGTTCATAGCTCCTTGTTATAAATCTACATTGAATTAAAATCTCGGTTTCAGTCTCTTTCATTTCCAATGTTTCACTGTGCGGGTAATGACTGGCAGCTACCCCACAAGAACATGCCCCTGAATATTTCAAATGGCCTGACGACGTGGCCTGATGAATGATGATAACAATATCATAGAATTAGGTGGCTGATGATTAGGTGGCCGTTGACTCAAGATGAATGAGAGATGACGGAGTCAGGACGACCTATGATAAGGGCTGATGATAGCAGGAAACGGTATGACTAGGTCTAATTATAGCTATAGCAGGAAATGCAAATTATTGCTCTTTTGGTACCAAGAAAACGGCATGAACTAGCTATTTTTATGGAGGAAGACAGTGTGTTAGGTGGTAACATTTATAGCAGAAAATGTTCGATAGTTGCAACATGGTATAATGGGTTTAAATTGCTAATAGCTAGCGAACCATGGAACATGTTCAGGAAATGAGCATGTTTATGACATACTTTGGTCACTGTGCAGCGGGCATCAGTGTCACGCTACGATCATGTTAGGAATAGCAACTGTAGGGTTCGTTAGATTTGGGAAGTCAAGGTCAGGAGAGACCGAGCGAGTGAGGTGGCAGGTCGTGTCATGGGTGTGCATATTGAATGACCTGACATTGAATTATCTGCTGTTGGTTTTAGTGGCGACGTAGAGATAATTAGCATTCGATAAAATTTTATATATTAATTTAAATTTCAGCTAGTTGAGATTGATAAATAAATTGTAATTAATTATTTTTGATAAATTGTTAAAATCTTTGTTCGCTCACGAAAGAAAATTTGAATTGAATGTTCAACACGTATAGAGATATTAAATTCAATCTACACAATTTTACAAATTCAGCAATTCATTAGATTCCTATATGCACGTTGACCGGATTGATAAATTTTGTTTGAATAGTCCTCAAAAAGAGAAGATATCCCTTATATGGTAATTTTATACTGAATCAGTTTTAACTAGTGCATTTCTTCCATTTTTGAGGCAATGGGCTACTTCTGACATGCCATGGTTATTATAGAATAATTTTATACCCAAAAATTTTACAACACGACCAAGTAGCAGACTGTTCTTTTCTAAGGCACATTCGCATGTCATGCCAAAAAAGCTCCTCGATTCTCATTGAACTTGACGGACCCGCAAAAAGTTCAACGGCTCTCATTGAACTTGACCTGTAAATTGCCAGAACACATGGCCAATAACTCGACAGTTTTCAGCCGAGTCATCGTGGTGTTCACTCCTAAGGTTGCAGGTGGCAAAATATGTCAACATAGAAAGTTGACGAGGGTTGCCAATTGGGAATATTGATTATATATAAATTATTGTCGTTTCGTAAAATTATGAAAGACTGATTAGATATTCGGATTAATTTTAAATTTGTACTCGAGCCCGACAAAAATGTTACAAATTTGTAAGTCTGACACAAATATTATTTTGATTGAGTTTTAATGGATATAATAGTTCATTATTAATTATTAAGTAATTATTATTAAGTAATTATTTATTAACCACCAATTGATTAATATATAGTATTTATATTTTTACAGAAGTCTACATTACTCAACCCTGTTCAGAGGCTGCAATTTTATATAGAGCCATTATATTAATTCGAATGCAGAAAAAATTGTCTTCCGATTGGTGTCTGCACTGCAACTTCAAGTTCCACGTTCGTCACTGGCAACAATTGCTAACAATTATATAAAATTTAGATATTTTCATGAATTTGCCTCTGAGAAGCGTATTACATATATCCAAGAAATTTACCATTTAATTTAAGATAAATTTATCAATAATTAGTGACTGGATGATTTCAACAGTATTTATATAGGGCGAGTTTTAGTCCAAATTTTGATTTGAAAAGAGAGACGACAAAACTTCGGTTTCATGGAGAGTATTATTTGTATGGTGAATAAGGCAATTGATATTGTTACTGTATTACTTCACATCACAAACTGATTATTGATATCCTGAGTTTAATAAATACTCTACGATTTAATTTTTTTAACCCACGTATTATGCAGAAAAAAATTCGCTAAAAGTTATGTTTGGTATTTGCGTCACGTCAAGAATTAGTGAAATCAATTTAATGGAGTTTCTTTAATTTGTTACAGTACTCAAATTTTATCGAAATGACATTCGGATACATAAAAATTCATATCAGAAAGTTTCTTATATAATGATTGCCGCTGTTTTCTTTATCTGGGTTCGACAAAAAAAAAAATATCGAAATTTTCATTCATTTCTCATCCCTAACGCAGATTCAAGCATCTTCAGAATTACGAAGAATAATTTAGCAAGTGCTTTCGAGAGTAGTATTTACTAGGGTGGTTCAAAGACCGTTTCTCCACCCGATTAATAATTCTGATAGAATTCGATAGTCTTTTTGCTGCACTCACTAGATATGCGCTGACCTGTTAGAACGCTTCATGGCTAGAGCGTTCCGGTCGCTATCGTAAGTTTGAAACAATCTTAGCAATGTTTTCACGGACCTATAGAAGAGTTTTTTTTCATGGAGAATATATAAGGTCTTACGGTCGTGCACTTTGCACAATCACGTAACTAAAAAACTTTGATTAGATTTTGAATTTAATTTTGACGAATTATTAAAACATTTAAAAGATTTAGGCAAGTTAAATATGACGAAAACCTTGGTTCTATTCAAATTTTGGTTTCATTTAATTGTCTAATGTTCAACTAAGCTGAATATTATTTGGTCTGGTCGACGGAATTTCTTTCATAATACCTTGTACAGAAACCGATTGACTTCAGTTTAAATCTCGATCACTGAAAAAACCGCTGTTTTCTAGAATTTTTTTTATAAACAGACTCCACTCCTGCCATTGCAGTTTATTAACTGAGAGCCTAACAAATTTAGCAGCTTTCAAACAGCCCGTTCGGCAACGGACAAACGACAGCCTCTGATCGAACTGCCCATTGTTCAACGTAAACGACCGTTTGATGACCTAAATACATAATACAAGGGCCTGCATGTAAATCGAATTCTTTCAAATTTAACTAAGCTATCATGCAGGCGGGGAGACTGAGCTATCTATTGAACTCTATGACCGGAATTTTGTATCAGGCATCCGAAACTTTGCCAATTATACGCGACCTTGAACCACAGCTTGGCCAGCTGAGGCATGACGGCTTGCTCGTCATGAAACAAAACTGGATGAGTTTTTAGCGCAGATGCTTTCTTCTTCAATGAATTTAAAGAGACAGAGTAGTTCTCACCATGGAAAACTTATCTCTACTCAAAAATCAGACTTAATATAACGTATGGACGGTATGGTTAAGAGTTAACCGTATTGGAACGTGAACCACAAAACTAATTTTTTTTTTTAATTTCTGGGTGAAATTCAGTACTACTTGCGCAGCTGCATGTCTGTTATATTTTAGGTATAAAAAAGCGGAACGGTTTTGCCTCGGTTTCTGCTGTGATGGTGCAACGTATTTGAAACATCCCATTAATTCCCCATTGGTTTATTATAGTAAATTCGAATACGATGTAATATAGCGTCTGTTAACACATTTTTTGAACTGATCTTTAACGAGAAACCCCACTAGTTGTCCTACACAATTCTTGTGTTTAACTGCCAATTCAAGTTAGTCACTTCTGCCTCAATGCCCACAAGCTGCATAGTTTTGCAATGGGTAGATTGTATATAATTATTACTGGTAGGATATCAAAGCTAAATTTCTAAATATCTAGCTTGCATCAATTTTTTTTGTCATCCAATTGGATGAAATGTAGAGGGAGACAATTCAGAATTTGAGTCAGGTTTTCTACCTGGGTGCGTTATTTTCTTCGAATGAAGGAGACCTCTTAAACTTGCACTTGAGTGCCCCAGGAAATTCAAATAAATTTTCTAAAATTCTATGGATAATTTAGTCAAGTTCTTGGATTATTCGGGATAACTGCCAGGATAGCCAGGAATAATCAGGCGAGTAGCATATTGCGCAGCAACTTTAAAAGGTTGCCTAAGACGGGACCAAGATTAGCTTGGTACACTGAGTGAATTGAAGTATGTATCGAGTGCATTGAGAGTTCGCTGAAAAATGCAAAATAAAATAATTTAAATGCATTAGTTTTCACTTCAGCTCTTATCTTCAGTTTATTAGCGTGTATTGTCAAACTCCATGCTAGGTACTTTTCATCGAAAGTGACCGTAATGAATTTAATGTTTTGAAATTTAATATTCAACTCTCATATCCAATATTCCCATTTGGTTTGTTCCAGTTCTACTGTAATAATTTTTAAACAGTTAACAGAATAATAATAATAATAATAAATGTAATCTCGCCCGAATGCAGTAAGTGCCCTGAAAAGAATTTTTTAATGACCCTCAACGAACCCATATGGTCAAACAAGCCCCTTATATGTTTTCAAAAATGCTGTAAAATAAAATCGACCAAATGATACAATTTATGAACACATTTCTTGCACTTCAAAAGCAAGAATATATAAAAAATACAAAGAAAATGTTTTTAATGTTTTAATACGTTATGAAAATGTTTTAATACGTTATCAACACCAGTGACTTTGGCAGCACCATGATGTGAAGGAACTAGCGCCCGCAGGTATGGGGTATTCAGTGCAGACTGGGTTCGCCTAGTGCTTGTCCGCGTGCCGAGTCGGGGAGAGTTGAGTTTTTTTCCACCCTTGGAAGGTCAAAGGAACAGCGCGACTCAGCAAGGTTAGGAGACCCTGGCACGCTGAGCGTTTTTCAGGCGCGCGCTATTTTGTATATAAGTTGCGGGTCTGCCCAGGAAGAGCATTCTGTCGCTTACGCTCCTATACAAAACAACCAAAATGAACGCGGTGAGTAAAGATTGCTGCTGAGGTTCATTTGGTTGGAATCTAAATTTAATGTGTAAATTTAATCAAATTTAATGTTTAGTCATGGATGAAAGAAATGTCTTTACATTTTTAATTGAAACGGGAGGTAAAATATCTATGCATTATATTTTTGGGTAAGGAAAATGTTAAAAATTCGCCGCTTGCAAGCATTTTGGGTGTGATTAACCGTTAAGATTTTACAGTGCATTTCAGGAAATTTTGTAATTCGATGGAGATTTAATGTAAGCTTTTGACTTCTTCAGATCTCCAGCATCATATTCGCCGTCGTCATCGCCACGGTCGCCGCTGACGGGCATGGTCATGGTGGTGTCGGCCTCGGTGGCGGTCTCGGTGGTGTTGGCCTAGGTGGCGGTCTCGGTGGTGTTGGCCTAGGTGGCGGCTTCGGTGGTGGTTTAGGTGGTGTTGGCCTCGGTGGCGGTCTTGGTGGCGGTTTCGGAGGCGGTGGTATCGACGCCGTCGTGGGAGGAAATGTCCAGACCAACGTGCCCATTGTGATCCCCTCCCCGGTTGCTAATTACGTGCCAGAGCCTTTCGTCGTGACCAAGCCCTTCGTCGTGCCCCATTTCGTGACCATCCTCAGGAAGGTTAGCGTGCCCGTTGAGGTCGTCAAGAAAGTCCCCATCGAAGTCGTCAAGAAGGTCCAGGTTCCAGTGAAGGTCCCCATCTTCGAGCACAAATGGTGAAAATAACACAAAAAGCTGCAATTTGCGCCGAAAATGTTGGCCATGTTTGATCGACTGAAATTTTCCAATGCCTCAGAGTGTTTTCGGTACCTCACCGGGTCCACATCTACCGCTGTATCTCACAGCTTTCTTAAGGAAAGCTGGGCAATGCAAGTCATTATTTATAACATCTTACTTTGATGAAGAATAAAGTTATCTTCATCGTCTACTTGCTTTTTGTTAATCCTCCATATGCTAGTTTATTCATTGCAACGTAATCAATCGGTCAAGAAAGATGAGCGAGGTCAAAATATTAATTCGGAATAATACGTATTATTCTCTCTTCATGAAACCGCTTAGCCTCCATTATTAAATAGCTCTATAAAAATCAGGGAAAAATTAAGTACGATGCATAAATAAATGAAATATAACAGTATACTAAGGAACCTTTTTTTTTTGTTTTAAATGTTCGCTTGCAACATGTTTCGCAAAAAAACGTGTGTTATAATAGTTACGTGCATCTTGAGAAGCATACTAACTTTTGAATAGTTCAACACAGTATGATTCACATATAAGTATTCCGTAATTTAATTATCACGCACTCTTCATAAAAATATGCAATAAGTAGCAACTAAGACAAAAACATATTATTGTGATGGTTACGTGATGTTGATTTGATCATGATCGCTAATTTTTTTTAAATCAAGTTCAAGCAAAAATTTATTTCAAGCCAAAAAACTTTTTCAAACGAAAGTGCTGAAAATAATGCAAAATGAAACAAAATCATGCTTTTGCGATTCAACACAAAAATATTTCAATGCGCTAATTAGTTACAGCTAACGTTCGACGACTTTTCGAGTTAATTTTGAACAAACGTGTGACGAGTGAGACTCAATATATTAACAGAATAAAGATTATCATCTCTATGCACTTATATGATCTTTGTACCTTTCGGAGCTTGAAAAACTTATTTAAATTGAGAAATTGTTCCATGGTATTAATTTCCAAAGCCAAGATGCAAGGTTTTAACACTAGAATTGTTTCCGAGAACTAAATGGAACAAGGGAACAGCTTTGAGTATTCATTATCGGTTTTATTGCATAACCCGAAAAAGTATGGAAAGTTGAATAGATCGTATAATAATAAGTGAGAAGTAAGATTATATGCGTTTCGTAAAAGGATACGTTAAGGCATAGTGAAAAACTCATAGCAAGCATTTCAATAAAATTTTAAATCAAGCTGTAATCATTCTTATAAAACACATCCATTGTTGGAAACAGTCCGGGGTTACAAAATTATGAATAACAGAATGTAACCATAGCAACGATATTATCAATAATAGAACGTACTGATATAGTTGCCACGTAATAAAATACAATGTATAAAAGAAAACCAAATGTAATAAAATTATGAATATCAGAACTATTGGTATAGTTGCCATGTATTTACAAGCAGAAAATTGCAAGATTATCAGATCAGGCTCGTTCATAAGCGGGCGACCAGCAGCCGGCTTTGGCCTTCAATAGCGCGCCGATGAACGCGATTCTGATCTCAAAAAATCCTTCGGTTCTGCAAACCTTTGATTCGATGCGTGGGAAACGAATATTTTGCCACCCAAGTACAGGTTATTCAAGTCGTCAACATCAAGTTGAGCAAGTCGACATCATACACGTTGAACAAGTCGTCAACATAAAGTTGAGCAAATCGTCAACATCAAGTTGAGCAAGTCATCAACATCAAGTTGAACAAGTCATCAACATCAATTTGAGCAAGTCGTCAACATCAAGTTGAGCAAGTCGTCAACATCAAGTTGAACAAATCATCAACATCAATTTGAGCAAGTCGTCAACATCAAGTTGAGCAAGTCGTCAACATCAAGTTGAACAAATCATCAACATTCAAGTTGATTGTTAGCGTTAAACAAAATACTGTGATCAACATAATTTTATTATTTTCAACGAGGGACGAGACTTCTGATGACAGTTAAATTATGAGAAAAAACGATTAAATCTTTTTGGGTTTATTCAGTCTTTCATACAAAGAGTATTGATGAGTCAAACCTGGTATTGATTGCCATGTTTTCGTCGTAAAATTAATTAATGTAAATTAAAATTAATGATTAATCCTGAATTCACCACAGCTGGTGGGCTCAGCTGGCTCCGCGAAAGGAAAAATGAATCTCATTGGCGTGCTTGATTTGTGCTCATGCAGAGTGTGAACCACTTTTTCAATTAGTTCCATCACCCTAATAAAATAGATTTGCTCAAATGCACGAGGTAATTTAGCACATATTCTAGATAGGTGTGAAATTAATACAGGTGGTGCAGTTATCTAGGTTGGTGCGGAGTGCAGAATTAGGAGATGCATTTGACGGCTAAGGTGCAAAAACTTGTTAGGCGATGAGTGGGGTTTGTTAACTGGTGGTTAAAGGGGAATCGTACCACAATGACACGCAATATTGCTTGTTTCGAGCCTAATTTTGCGGCCGGCACCGAGAGAAATAATAATAATATATGAGACGGAAGTACAAATTTCAATTTCTTATCGAAGGCAAAACTTGGTTGAATGTTCGTGTTGAAATGCTATTATTTGCAACCCAGTATTTATTTTTGTGATGTGGAAATGATATTGATTGAATAATTTTTTGATGTTGCATCTGATTATCACAAGAAATTAGACTAGTTTGTCGTTTTTATTGAATATTATTATACTTATCTTCACATTCAGTATTCTACCTTATCCTAGTATGTTAAATATATAGTTAAATTTCGGTATCGTGCGGCTAGCCTAGTCGGTAAATATGAAATAGTTTTGTTAAAAACCCTCTCGAAATTTATGTTGGCATATGGAGTACATTAGGGTAAAATAAAAAACTTCGACATTTTTAATTATACTGGGTAAATAAAGTGCACATCGTAAGTTAAGAAAATCACTGTTACTAAAATACTACATATGAATAAATTCATAATTTGATGTTTATTCCTTTCGAAACCTAACCCTTAATTTTTAAAAGGAATTTGAAAGCAAAGAAAACAGGCAGAATATTAACCATTTCTTAAGAATGAAAACGTTTTGGAGTCCAGCTCCATCGTCAGTTCAAAAGTTCAAAACCTATAAGAAAAGCAGCAGCAGTTTTCTCTGTTTTTAAATTCCTGATAAACTTGCGGTTTAAGCAATCTAGTAATTTTAATACTTAATCTTTAAACAGTGAGCTTAACCGATCGTTTCACAACTAATACATCTTCTTAATTCCTATTCAAAAATTTCTTCCTTAAAGGAAAATTTTAAACGTAAAGCCATCTCTTATATAGAGTTACACAGGAGCTATGTCGCGACCTTATCGCTCGCTCACGTCCTCTGTCGTTATGACGGTCGTACAGTTTCGAATAGTCGTACAACGGTTGTCCTTCTGTAGCTTTAATGTTGTCTCTTTGAATTATTTCTCAAGTTCTGCATGGCCATAGAATTTTTATTGACCGTTTTTCGGAATGGTTGTGGTCGTGAAAAAGGTTAGAAAAATCTTAGTCGACACTTGCAGATGTCAGAATTTTTTTACAAGAATTTTAGCTGTAGCTAGGAGTTAAATTTTTCACGGCTTTTTATATAGGCCGCCGGCCTGACAGCTACGGCCGTCGCGATAAGCTAACCGACGCGACTGTTATCTCTCAAGAACCAACCATTTATCCCCAACCCTCGGAGTAGACGTCGAATTCCTCGAGTGTTAAAACATTCTTGAGGTAAGCCTGCGAATGTGGTAAAAATACTCGGTCTATGGTCTCGAAACAATCGCGTCACACACTCACGATCATCGCGTGAATCTTCATTCTCAGTATTCGCAATACCTACAACCTAAATTTTAATGAGATTCATAACTTAGGTTACAGTTCACCCTCAAACTATGTTCCATACAAACTGGGATCCTAAAGAATCTATCTACCCTTGCTGTTCACGTCTCTCTCGACCATTCAGTATCATTATTAAGATACAAAAACTATATTCGAATATTTTCACTAATTTTACTTCATATATAAAAAACATACCTTAATATATTAATGTAAAAATCCTTCTTATTTAGTCTAAGACCAAAATTTAAATTTAAATAATATCTGGGTACCCATCAACTGTTTAAATGCAGACAAAAACCATAGCCTTCAACATTACTGCCTACACAGAATTTTGCAAGTCATTGAAGCAGGAGGCCCAGGATTTCTAAGATGGCGGACACGATGGCGAGGATAGAAGACAACCATGACCAGAGGCCATGATTGTTTTTATTGTTATATTAAAATTTGGTACACTAGACTGTGAAATTTTCGGCTAAAATGGTTATCAGGCTGCATTGGTCATTTGATATTATCGTATTCAGTTTCTTTGCAGAATAGATATTAGTTATAATAAACACGGTCAGTGTTATCTCTCTTACAAACGTTTAACAGGTATCCGGATATTGGAATATTGTGATAACGAACAATTTTTCACATAAGGCAATACCAGTAGGGGAGATCTCAAAGTCCACTTGTATTCCCTACAATAAACACACCTGAGTTATTGCTCACTTGCAGACAAAAAGGTCCTGATAATTGTTTACTCTAATTTTGGCGCCATGCATCGACGCAAGATCCTCGATGAAACCATCACTAAACGGCTCGCCATTAAGGGACAATAAATCAGTCGATATTCTCAGGGAGGCTGTGTAGAAGACTGAAATTGTACGAATCAGCTGTGTCCTTTGGCTTGTTCCTGTGTCCTTTGGCTCATGTCCTTTGGTTTGTTCCTGTGTCCTTTGGCTCATGTCCTTTGGCTTGTTCCTGTGTCCTTTGGCTCATGTCCTTTGGCTTGTTCCTGTGTCCTTTGGCTTGTTCCTGTGTCCTTTGGCTCATGTCCTTTGGCTTGTTCCTGTGTCCTTTGGCTCATGTCTTTTGGCTTGTTCCTGTGTCCTTTGGCTCATGTCCTTTGGCTTGTTCCTGTGTCCTTTGGCTCATGTCCTTTGGCTTGTTCCTGCGCAAATGGCGGGAACAAGCCATGTCAACTGCTTCCTCACAAGAGTATCACAATGACTTCGGCAGTGACTGCCGAAAAACAGCCCCTGCACCTCGAACAACGAAGAATTTATTCCTTCACGGCCTTGCTTAGCGGAAAACGTCGAAAAAGCGGTTTAATACATCTCGAGAAATATATGGTGGAATGTGTCCATTAAGAATTTCAAAATTACGTGCTTACAATGGCTTTACCGACATTAATATGATATCACTGTTCTAATGACAAGAATGAGAGTAATAAAATATTTCTCACTGTCAATGTCAAATAAAGTACCAGGCAGCCGTGAACTGTTTTCCAGCCTAATTACAAGTCACTGTAGAATCAGCTGAATTTGGAATCAGTTATCTGAGAAATTGGATGAGCCGCTATTGCGCAACAAATGTATACCTTTTGTTGCTAAATGAGCAGAATATTATTTTCATGGCATTTCTTTGGAAGTTAAAATTATTAATCCTTCTATTAAATCACCTACCAACTAAAATCTTTCGTAATTTGAGATAATGTTTGGGAAAACCGAGCTTCTAGTACCGATTGATAAGTCAGTCTGAAAAAAATCCGCAAATTGAAGCGCTGTGAATTCATTCCTGTCACATCGAGCCTTGACATTAGGCTGTTAGTTTCACCAGGGCCGTGCATGGAAGCGTCTAGTTCACGATCGATGACCAGCTTGTTCGAACTGGCAAAAAATCGCGTCGTGCAACTCATCTGCCAAAATACGACTGTCATGATAGCAATATTGCGGAAAGGTTATGGGCAGTTAGTTGTCAGATTCCTATTATTGCTGTGATAACGATGATGAAAATCTTTAAAAAACAGAGGGCTTTGATGCACTGGGTCAATCATAATAAATCTGAATTAGTTAAAAATTTGGAGAAAGAAAACTACACTGCAAACGCCATGTAAACTGTTGATAAATAGCATTTACACAATTCAATTTATATCATTACTGGGATCTCTATATGGGGTACTTGTATTTGTTCAAATACGTATATCCTTTTTTCATTTTTCCATGATGATCATCAGAGCAGTTTTTCATTGCTCGAATTTGGCTGTTAAATTCTCGTAAAAATTACAAAATTTTCCATTTCTAACTATGCAATCGTAATTTTATTGCTTTTAACAACCCCTACCACTGATCTCATGTTTTGGCACTCGAATTTGGCACTGAACCTAATCCAAGGATAACCATTCGGTGCACACGTTTAATGGACAGCTCGTCTCTGAGTAATGGTTTCCCTCGATGGAGGTATACGCATTTGGAGGAAAACCTCAAACTTTCCGCATTTCAGTAAAAATTGTAATATTGAAGGCTTTTAGTTAAACTCCCTCCAGATTGTGATGGAATTCAAATCCTTCAGTTAAAATCAGTGCTGGAAGCTACTTAATTACGACTCACGATATTGATCCTCGAAACGAGGATGCAGGATAAATTAGTGGTCTATAACGTCATTATCAATGTGCCCTATATTTTTCGGCGATCCATTATACTTTGTAATTGCTTCAAATTGATTACATTATACTGAATGCAAATTGCGAATAATTCCATCAATAATTATCGGAAGATAAATAATTAGCTTCCCTGTATGTATAAGAATCCTTATTAGTACAACAAACTCAAAGAATCTACTTTTGAATTCATATTTTGCTCAAACCTAGAGCTCACAATTTTTCCTAAATCAGTGGCACTCAAATAATGTCAGGGAACAATCACAATTGTTTTCAATTGTTACAAAGCTCATAATATTTTTGTAAAAATGAGGGCTGCCGCTCAACATGTTTAAATCAGTATTTAAATTTTAGTAATCTGTTCGTTTCAGTTTCATTGTCATCAAGCCACTATTTGGGAGGTTTTCACACAATCAGCAAGTTACAATCAAAATAATCATAGAATGTTTAACGTTCAATTCAATCCGTTTGCAGGTACAAGAAACAGGTTCTACGTGAAAATTCACACTCAACTATTAATCCCAGCGCGAAACTTGGATTTTCATTAGACAAAGTTGATCAGTGTTAGACTGCTGAATCAAAATAAATAATAAATTGGATAAAGAAGGGGTTCCAGATATGAAAGGCATTAATTTATCTTGTAGCTTGAGTTCAGGTCTGGTAATTTGATGGTTGATAGAAATAGTGACGCAATCTTACCGTAGAAAAATGCTGTGTGATGTTGCACAGGATTACTGTATAATGGAAAGGAAATCAGTTAACATTACTGACGGTTCTAATGACCAGGGCAGGAAATCAATGGTATTCAGCAATTATTAAATGATTTTACGCAAAACCACCGACCTGAGTTTCTATAGCCCAGTGTGATAAACACTATTCGCGAAAAGAATAATTCAAGAAATTAGCGGATATTTAGTAGGAGGGGTTGGAAGTTCGATGGAAAGATAGAAAAAATATAACTCAGTACTCACTGCATGAAGTGAGTGACAGAGAGCGTGTTTTCTCGTCGGCGAAAACGTGAAGTCACGGACGGACGGACAGACGGACGGACGGACATGACGAGCACAATAGCGCCTTTTCTTTACATAAATGATAAAATGCGCTAAATAATTTGAGGTTTTATTTATTTGGAAATGAAGAAATAGAATTGATATTAAATTTGAACAAGTGACATTCGCGAGCACGGTAAGGGGTTGCCGCGCTAGATGTGTGAAAACTGTAATCGATTTAAATAATAAATCTTGACAAATGACAAGACATTAAATTGGCAAGTTAAGATTTGAATTGGCATTTTAAACTACGTTGAAATTTTAATCCTAAAACCATCTCCAACTTCCCACAGATATAGAAATTTCTTAGAAAATGCGTAAAAAACTTAGTAAAAGGAAGTGTAAACGCCAGTCATTCTAAAAAAATATACGGGAAAAAGATAATAGCAAGTTAGAGTCTTTAGAGATACTTAATTGACTTCAGTGCACTGAACAGTTGCCGCGTTGTAGATGTTCCATCGAAATCTAAGCAGATGCTTAATGTTACTCAAATGGTGAATCATTTCATTAACTTTCACCAAATCGCAAACACTAAATAAGAAATCGCTGAGACTTGACCTAATAACGTGCCTAGAGGCACACTTTTTAACCCCTACTCTCACTGATTCTAGTCCCCGGACTTACAAAATACACTTATTCTACAAGTGAAATCAGAAACATGGAATAAATGAAGACAACCTTGAACTTATGTAAAAATTAATGGTGAGGAATATAGAATTTCTCACTGATCATCATCGAGTATCGTGTAGGCATTGTAACTTCCGTGAAATCGTATCGTATAAAAGTATCGTATAATTGTAGCGGATGCTAAACTTCCTGGGCCTATACTTTAAAAAAAAGTTAAGAGATCGTAAGTTCTTCAGCCAATCGTTGACGGCCTTTCAAGCAAAATCCACCAATCATAGACAAGAAAATAGAGCGTAAGTACTTACGTTCACTTAGCGAGTTTTGAAAGTATGGCCCCCGACATGTAAATTATAATTGTCATCCACGACGTGATGTGGAACAAAGAGACATAAGGAGACCAATATATTCTGATCAGAACCTATACCACATTTTCTTAATGCGTTATTAGAAACCGAATGAAGGTGGTTCGAGTGGAAATAACTTAAATAAATAACTTAATTTAACTGATCTTATGCAAATTAATATTTTCATGGATGCGCATAGATATGAAAACAGATTAAAAACCATGAATTTTAAAAAAAACATCTAGAGACGAATTAACGCAATAATTATTTATATAGTTCAGAGATGAATCAGTTAAATATAACGCTTCCGATATACCTGCAAAGTTTTCAAGTTTTTCACAGGTTAAATATGTTTTAAATGGTGGGGGAAGTGTTGATGAAATAGCAGTTGTTTACAAAAGATAATTTTTTGCAAGTTTCATTAGGAAGTGTTTGTGTGTATCCTATATACAAGCTAATTAACATTGGCATATGAATTCTAAACAACCTGGTAACACAAATTTTAATTACTTGGCTCAGAGATACAGTACCTTGAAACACATTAGAAATCGAGTATAAGACATTTCTATTTATTTTGTAATGCTTGGTTGAAAGCTCGTAGAGGAGATTTCCGAAAAATGTGGATAAAGTTATTTTCCAGCGAAAAATGTTTGAAGAAGTCTTTTATTTAATTTAAATCATTTTCACTTGAATCCGAATCCAGATGTACGAACAAAACATAATTATGTTAAAAAATATTGCAGGGTGATTTTCTTTCAACGATTATCATTCTTTACATAGTTAAGTATGACTAACAGAATGCACTTGTTCCAGAGCCAAAATGTGTTAAGCTGATAGGTAAGCACGGAATAAAACATGAACATAATAGATATTCACCAGAGGTGAGTTCCTTATTTAGCACCCAGACGTAGAAAAACTTCACGTCAGTAAAAGCAATTTCACGCTGATCTCTATTCTGGACGAGATGGCAAACACGCCACTGTATTAAAATATTATCAGTATCTTAGTACGCCCAGCCCCTTTTTTTCATATCATTTAATGATCGAAGTGCGTATACTGTAAAAGGTCTGAGGGTACAAGCTAGGGTGGGGAGCGAAACCTGAGTTGCTAAGTCATCACGGAGGTAAACGCGCTTTCTACGCCTGACATAGTTTCTCGGGACCCTAAGAAGTTTGAGGGCGATAATGGAACCCTAGCTCATAGAGGGCAGGGCGAACGGGGTGAGTTCCTAACTGCAGAGAGCTCGTTGACCTTGGGCGCTTTCGTATAAAAGATTCCCGTAAGCGAACACAAGCATCATCTGATCTGTTGCTTCTGCTGTAGCAACTTCTTCAAAATGAACTCTGTAAGCTTGCATTCAAAGCCTCATGATAGGGACAAATAAATTAAGCCCCATGTACGATGCGGTCGTACTTTTTTCGATTTGTTATAAACTGCAAACACAAAGCAATCATTCAGGAGTTTGGGATTTCCTAAAATATCAGAATTTTCGAAAATTCTTCGAATCATATTAATTGTTCCTTCTTACTAGTTACAATACAATGAAAAAATACTGAAACTCCTGCTGATGAGTACCTGGGAAAACAATTAATTGAAATAATATTCAGTGGGTATTTTTGAACAGCAGTGCATTTCTCAAAGAAAATTTTCAGCAATTTACAAATTTTAGTCTGATGTTATTTGAAAATGTTTCATATTTTTCAGAATATTTTTCGAGCTGGAATTTTAGTGAGCTCTCATATGTCCTATGCACGAGGCATTGGATGTAAAAAGATATTTTGGGTATTTTTGAACGATTTCGTAGTAAATTGAAAATTGTTGTCCCCTAGATCACCCTCACCATTTTCGCCGGGCTCATCGCCCTCAGTGCCGCTCGTCCCCACCGCTGGGAAAGCGGAATCGGCGGCGGCCTCGGCGGCGGCCTTGGTTCCTTCCGCGGTGGTTTCAGCAATGTCGGTTTTGGCGGTGGTGCCATCGGCTCAGGTTTCGGCGGCGGTCTCGCTGGAGTCGGCGTGACCTCCGAGTCGGTCTCTGGCCGCGTGGTGCATCCCAGCATCACCACCGGGGTGCAGCTCGTGTCCAAGCCTTTCCCAGTCCAAGTCCCCGTCAAAGTCCCCATCGTGAAGCACATCCCCGTTCCCAAGACCATCAAGACTGTCAAGACCGTCAAGGTTCCCTTCCAGGTGGTCAGGACAGTCCCCGTGCCAGTCGTTAGGACCATTCAGGTCCCAGTACAAATCCCTGTTAGAGTTGGAGGTGGATTCGGAGGAGTTGGAGGTGGATTCGGTGGAGTCGGAGGTGGACTTGGTGGAGTCGGAGGAGGATTCGGTGGAATCGGAGGTGGACTTGGTGGAGTCGGAGGAGGATTCGGTGGAGTCGGAGGTGGACTTGGTGGAGTCGGAGGTGGACTTGGTGGAGTCGGAGGTGGACTTGGTGGAGTCGGAGGAGGATTCGGTGGAGTCGGAGGTGGACTTGGTGGAGTCGGAGGTGGATTCGGTGGAGTCGGAGGCGGACTTGGTGGAATCGGAGGTGGACTTGGTGGAGTCGGAGGAGGATTCGGTGGAGTTGGTGGTGGAGTCAGTCGAATCGGTGGTGGAGTTGGCGGAGTCGGTGGTGGATTCAGCGGAAGCAGCGGTGAAATCGGCGGTGGATTCGGGGGAGACTTCGATGGCGACTCTGATGAGAAGTAAACCCTGAAACTATTTCTCTATAACTTGTCGAACCGAACGAATTACCTAGTCATGATGACTAAGGATCATAATTTAAATTATTTAAGAGGCTTTGTTGCATGTTCATGTAGGCCTCTTACAAATACAAGCCTTTGTCACTATACTATGCCTTTTATTGCAATTCCTTTCCTACTATCAATTTTAGATTTTTTCATTTATTTTTTTATATCGAGATAAAATTTCAAATATTTAGACTACCCGCTATTCAGTGGGAGCAAGTAGCTGCTTGTCCTCAAATATAACAAAGTTTATTACTGTTCACAAAACTCATCAAACCACGAGGGTATATGAAGATCTATGCGATGCAAATTATTTATTTACTCAAGTAAAAGTCCGCAGATTATGCATAAAATTAAAGTAAATAATCCATGTGACATGCAATGCATGATCGATGAGTGTTATTCAAACTTGAATGTTGGGTCTACAGTTGAGCTGGCTCGACTGTATAAGCAAACTTATGCATTCCATCTAGCTTATCTGGAATGAAATGATCAACTGATGCATTCCCGAGGTAGAAATATCATCGGTAACGCCAGTACAAATGGTTGCTTTACTTAAAATGCACGGTAGCATTGCGAATGTGAGGTTTACAATTCTTAAACCTACTAATTATATTCTTAAAACGGGAGAAGTAAGAATTTCGGAATAAGAATGATGTCCGATAAATGGGTATAATACAAATTCTAGAACATTTGGCGTTGTGAAAATGCTTTCCAGTATCTATCTGCAGAATATTTTCGATTATGAACATATAATCTCAAAATCAGAAGAACTTAAACTCATATATATTAAGATTCCGTCCTTAAAAATTTCACAGCATCAAATAATAAAAACCCAAGTTTAAGCGAGTTTTTTTTACAATCCAAGTAAACGCTTTTAAGTTATAGGAATCATCGATAGCATTTTAGTCTCACTTGAATGGCTTTAACATTTCACAGTTCACTCTTTATATTTTAAGTTAAATTATAAATTCCACGAACCTTGCTCAACAATTACAATATTTCTTATTTTATCTGATCTGCCAATTACCGAACCCCAGGAATGACTAAAAAGCGTTCTTCGTAAAGCTCTAGTCAGAAAATTGCTGGTCAAAGGAATTTCTTTCCTTCTCTAACCCTTTCGCTTGAGAATGAATGACTTCTTTCTCCATAACTTTATTTCTACAGTAATATTCATTGTTAGAGTAATATATTGAGTTTCCATCAAGCTCCATTTATCATGCATATAATAGTAATATATCTAAATACAATTTTTTTAATGAAAAATCGTTCAAGAAAAAACAAAGGTTGTAGGAAGAACCGCTAATACATTACTAATGGAATTCGAGCATTGTTTCTTCGTAGGCATTAAAAATTAATCATGCAAAATAAAAAGATGTGAAAAACGAATAATTTTAACATTTTATTACACTTTATACAATGATTTTCTGTTAGTAACTCATGAATGCATATCTTGATCTTGCTCTCACAAATTCGTTTAAAAAGGCATGGAAAATAGTTAAAAATGAAGAGGAAACAGCAAAAAATTGAACTTTAATTATGATGCATTTAACGATATTAGAGTTATGAACTTAATTAAAAATTTACTTTACATTGATAATTTTCCCGGTGGGTTAATATTACCGCGTTTAAATGATAAACTCGATTAAGATTTAAGAGGAAATTTGCGGTATTTGTGCATGGGTTATTAATGAGAGTAAGCAGCCAGCTTTCTCATGCTTGATCAATTCCAGCTACGTGGTTTGAATACTGAAATCGTGATTGAAAATGGCGAAAAGTTTTACCTGTCAAGTAGGTTATCGCTAATTTATATCGGATTTATCGGAGACGCTAATAGTAGGTTATCGCTAATTTATATGGCCCTTGCCATAAAAACACCTCGACCTCAATAAATAACTGAACTAATTTTAATTCGAATAAGATATCTTCTATTCTCTAATTGACATGTGCGGGAACCAATCTAGTGCTCTCATATAAAGCACTTTTGGCCACTTTTTTTTTCCATTGATACTCAAAGGCCGCAGCTGAAGGTAAGAGCAGGGTTAAAAATATTGAAAAAATTTTATCAATCAACGGAAGCTGTTGCTTCGATAAGTGCATCCTCGAACATTTCATCTGTATATTTTCATTTACACCAAAACAAGCCAGATATTAACTAAAGAAAGTGACATGTATGTGGCAAATTTTTTTTCCATTTCAAACGTAATTTTTTGTCGACATATCAATTTGGTGCAATTAAATTACACCAGTAGTTCATCTCTGGTAGCCATGAAAATGGGCAGTAAATAAAAAACTTATTTAATTGAATATCGTCGACCAGACTGCATTTTTTTTTATTTTTACTAACTTGCTATTACAATTCCGGAAATCTCAAACAACAAGATGGTCGAAATATCAGTGGCCAAATCACCATACGATTATTGTCGATCGTCACGGATTTGTCTGCTATTATCCGGTAATATTTTTCAAAGTTCCGCTAACTTCCCTTCTGGCATAAAAACCCGTTCTGAGAGATCATGGAGAGTTGATCAAGTTCAGGGCAATAGTGACATTGACCTCAAATCGGTAGCAGTTCTGTATAAAAACTGGGTTTGATTTCCAGGCGCAGGCTCGCCTATGTTTTTCTGTTAATTAAACTAAATCATCACACATAAATGATCAGCTCGGGCAGTTTACCAGATTACCTCGAAATGAAACTCTTTCTAGATTAGGCGGCTGAATAATGCAATTTTTTTATTTCATTCTCAATGAAATAGGGTACAAGTAAGAATTTATGTATCGCGGAAGAGGGACGTGGTTTTCCGTTTTCTTGACAGTTTTGCCTGAGGGCGTTGGTCTCGAAACAATTAACCTTGTTTTTGACAACGCAACATATATTTTATGAAGGGCTTCATAACGGCACAAAAAAATACTTCATACTTATTTTGTTTTCAAACAACTGCTTATTCCTGTGGTTTGGGCAGCTCTTGCAAAGTTAATTAATTAAGTTGTCTCGCTTACTTCTGTTTTTATAATTTTTAATTAGTCAATCTCTAAAAGTAAGTTTGCAAAAAAAGCACAATAAGTTGTTGACATGATGGCAACAAATGCACCAATTAGTCAATATAACTTTCGCTTACCCTGAGTAGAACGTTAATGTCGGTTTAAAAAAACGCATGCAGGCGTGGCTAATGCAAAAATATTTGCAGCGATGTTAGTCTCACTACAGCGATGTTAGTCTCACTACAGCGATGTTAGTCTCACTGCAGTGATGTTAGTCTCACTGCAACGATGTTAGTCTCATTACAGCGATGTTAGTCTCACTGCAGTGATGTTAGTCTCACTGCAGCGATGTTCCGTTGCGCTATTCGCCAAATTTCATTCGTTGCTGCTAATCAAGTTCGAATGGCCTGAATCTAAGCCTACAAAAAAGAGTTGCGCTATCATGCGACCAGATGTGATGAGCGTATAACATTCATCAGTGCGCAAATGTTGTAAAAAATATTCATTATTATTCTTTTCTCTTCTCTTGAAATGAAGCGAGGACAATACTCGGGGAGAGTTGATATTCATTACTCGTATATGATGAATTTGCCCCTGGAAAAATGGAATAATCTTATGCAATGCAAATCCAACATGTCGAACGACATTTTCTCAATAACACTTGCTTCAGAAGTACATGAGTACTTAACCTAAATTAAATGCATTGAACTAAATGAAGTTTTATAAGATTTGACACTATCTAGAATTTTCATCATAGGAGATAAAAATATATTGGTAATGTTGTTTTTATGATATAAAATTATTTTCAGTACTAAATATGCGGAAGCAAAATGTTTAATGTAAAATAATTTGTACGGCTGGGGTAGACATGAGTAAAGAGATTACCATATGCAATTTAAAACGCAGAAACCCGACGATGAATTATCTACCGTATAGTTGCTTCTAGCAATTATAATATATGGAAATAGTTTTATTTTAATTAATCAAGTGAAAAACTAAAAGTAATCAAACGAGCAGGCTAGTATAACTAGTGAAACTTATCAGCAGACTTGTGTAAATATTTTCGATTTGGTAGCGGGAAAGTCTTTGTTCCACGTTTGTTGTGCCTCGATTTTGTATCTGAATATGAGAGTAATCCGGCAAAATCCAATAAATGCATTATTAATATTTTTTTGCTTTGTTGAATATTGAAGCTCATTCAAAATATGTTATTTTTGTTAGTATTATTATAACTGAATTGGTCCACTGAAAAGAATTTTTTTCCAAAATTCAACATTGGCTCCTTTCATATTCCATATTACCCGTGGCTGTTGGAAATAAAGTTTAATGCTTTAGGTAATTGTGTTGGTGGGAGCTATTATACGCCGGTTTTACGACTGTCGGCGTGACTGGCCACGGCCGTTTATGGAGTCGTAGTGGAGGGATGGAACCTTTAACGGCCTTAAATCTAGTGACGACTTTGCAACTACCGAATCGATTTCCAGAACCGTAATAAAACTGTGGAATGGACGAAGCTTATACTCTGTGGTGGACGGTGGTGGATAAGTGATGCAATGACTTCAATTTTAGAATTGGAACATAAAGTTTAATTGAACCAATTTAGTATTATTTACTTCAGATCTTCGGACATCATTGGACCACCAATGTGATGATCACATTTCCAGAATATACATCTTTCCGGAAGACCAGGGGCCATACTTTCAAAAAAAGTTAAGAGATCGTAAGTTCATCAGCCAATCATTGACGTCCTTTCAAGCAAAATCCACCAATCATAGACAATCATAGTGGGTAAGTACTTACGTTCACTTAGCCAGTTTTGAAAGTATGGCCCCTGGATACGTCAAACCTGCCGACGATCCAGGGATATTCGATGCCTCGGAGCAGGCTCGGAAATTCTACATCTCCCTTCCTCCCGCAGTTGGGATATGACCCTCGTTAAGTTGTTTATGAAGGAGCAAATGATCAGAAGGCCTTAAAAATGCTGCACCGATCAGTGGAAATCGAAGCCTAAAATGTGGTTCGATCAAGATTGAGCACGCTGCGCATATCGTATATACTCGTCTATTTTTTTCATATTTTGTGTCGTTTGAGTTCCTTAAGTTGCAAGAAGCACGAAATCT